GTTTATTTTCATTCTTTTTTATGTTTAATTTTTAGTTCAATTTTAATTTTTATCAAAAGAATACATGCACATAATTTTGAAAGGGAAACACTTATAGTGAACAAAAATAGTCATCTATTAGCTCCCCCTATTTCTTATTACCATAGACTGTGATGTTAGACTCTGCTTCCTCTTTCTATATTTACCTTAATGTTTCTAACATACTTAGAACTTTTTTATTTTTTATTTTTCAATTTTGGCTTTTCTCTGTTGACTCCTTTACTGTACAAGGAGGAATGTAAGGATTGGGCCTTCTAAGGCTCGTCTTACTCTCTCGCTTATACTTTGCTCTTCCCCTTCGGTGTGATTGTGTCGTGGCTCTGGGTTACGGCGCTGCGCAGTGCCTTCTGCCCTATTGCGACTGCGTGCATACTGTTCCAGCTGTGCCGTGCTAATTACTACTACATACGTTCTTCTTCTTGTACAGCCTTTTTCTCCCCGAAGTTTATTGTCGTCTGGTTTTCTTCATTTGCTTTGTTTCCATGTATATGTCATTAATATGTTCCCAGGTAAGTTGTCTTTCTCTGAGGTATAAAATTTCTTTCCATCTAATAAGACACATCAAGTACTTTTTATTTTTTTAATTGTTTTGGGTGCTCCTGTCATTCTCTGGTATGGAAACGGTGTTCTCTAGGCCTGCTATTCCGCTGTTACCCTGGGACTTTTCTTCTGCCTTCGTTCTGGAAATTTCCTTCACACTTAGCCCGTGTTCCAGCCTCTCTTCCCAGGACCTCACTCTCCCTTAGCCTCCTGACGAAAGGTCAATAGAAAATCATTCCGGAGCTACACGGCTGAGAATGTCTTATTCTGACTCATTTTTAAAGGTGAAAGAAAATACTTTACCTTTGGAATTTTTTTTTTTTTTTTGTAATCCTCACCCGAGGATATCTTTCTATTGATTTTTAGAGAGAGGGGAACCAAGGAGGGAGGGAGACAGCCAGCNAGAAAATCATTCCGGAGCTACACGGCTGAGAATGTCTTATTCTGACTCATTTTTAAAGGTGAAAGAAAATACTTTACCTTTGGAATTTTTTTTTTTTTTTTGTAATCCTCACCCGAGGATATCTTTCTATTGATTTTTAGAGAGAGGGGAACCAAGGAGGGAGGGAGACAGACAGCCAGCCAGCCAGACATAGATAACAATGTGGAGAGAAGCGTCAGTTGGTTGCCTCCCATCCGCACCTTGCGGGGACTGAGCCCGTAACCTGCGTGTGAGCCTGACTGGGTCCCAGCTGAGCCACCCTGGGGTTTTTAAGGCACTGCTTAGTGTTGCTGCTGAGAAGTCCGGCAGTGCTCTTATCACTGATTCTCATGTCCCCTTTCCCCCTCTCTCTTTGGGAGTATGTATGTGACTCTATTCCTGCTGAACTTTGTATTGAAGTATTTTGGTATAGGTTTTTTGTTCAGTGTTTAGGCATTTTTTGAGGACTCATTTTTTGAGGACTCATTTTTTGAGGACTCATTAGTTTGGAAGCTCATGCTTTTTTTTTTTAGTTCAGAGATACTTTCTTTAATCTTGTCGGGGAAAAGCCTGTCTACCTCTCTTCCAGGATCTTAGTTGAGGGAGGGCACTGGGAGCATAGAATTTATCATTCAGTAGTGGGGTCTCAGATAAGCCCCCCGTTTTTAGCATGGTACCGAATAACAACCCTCATATCCACCTGAGTCCAGAGTTATTTGGTATAATCTCTCCAGATTAAATTGTTCTTCAGATTACTCCGCCTAAGGCCTGGTAGGGGTAGACTTGTGGCTGTAGGGACGCAGGGGGTCTATTTTTGACCCTATGTAAATCCCCCCAACCTTCCTCTAACACCTTTGGTAACCTTTCAAAGGTTCTGTGGTGGGAATCAGCTTCTAGCCGGCTTCTCCCACCCCTGCAGGAGCTTCCATTTTGCCTTTCTTTACTCGTAAAGTCAGTTACTACTGGTATATTCACGTTTTATCTTCCAGATTTTGCCATTAGAGAACCATAATGTGCTTTTGGGCCACCCCCTTGTTCTCTTTACCTCTGTCTCTTTTTGGGTTAATGACTTTTAATGCCTTTGCTGCCATTTTAGTGGGGTTTGAGAGAGAGTGAAGACATTCTTGAGTTTTGTCTACTTTTAACTGGAATATCTTAATTAGTTTAAATTGTTATTTGAGTATTATTTTCTAGATGTTTGCCCTCAGTGTTACAAGGAAGTTAATAGTGTAGTATTTGTGATTTTTCAGGAAAACCTGCCCAAAATAACAGTTGTGTTTTACACCATGGTGTGTGTGTGTGTGTGTGTGTGTGTGTGTGTGTGTGTATTTTCAGTGTTTTAATGTTGGGTACTAGATAATATTAAATAACTAGTATTGGAATAGATCTAAATGTCAAATTAACTTGATTACTTTATGCCAACAATAGCAACCCTATAAATTTCCACAGCCTATCGGCAATAGGCTGGTAAGCTTTCCCCCCAGCAGGGGAAAAACAGTAACACTGACTGAATAAGCTTTCTTACTTATTCATCCAGCACACATTGTTGTTTGAACAAATGGGTAGGAGCAGGATTGTCTGAGGGGTAGTTAAGAGCACCATACTGGTGGACACACGGAATGAGTCACACCATCTGGCTGCAGTCATACCTGGGTGGTGGTCGTTAAAACTCCACCTCCTGGGCATCTGTGTATGACTTAATTATACTGCAAAACCATATTGGACTCCACCAGTAGGTGACTTTGGAACTTCTTGAAACCAATTAACTGGCAAACATGCTTTCAAAATATCAATACTGCTGTTATTAAATGAGTCATTTAATTTTTTTTTTTTTGCACTTAACTGGAGACTTAAAATGTTTTTTTTTAGGATCTGGAATGGGTGGTACTTCAATATTGGCACTGTAAAAGTGATGTGGTATACTTGCTTAACACTTTTACTCAATAGTTATGACTAATGTCAGTATAGTGTTTTATAAACTCTGAATTCACATGACAGCTAGACCAGGCTTAGCGAAAAAGAGAAGTGGCACCAGCTTCTAGGAATAAACCTTAAAGATAATTAGATAAATGAAAATTCAGTTTTGATCAGTTAAAGATTTTGTTCATTTAAATCGGGCGGGGACTGTCTAGCCCGGGGGCCATATATGGCCGGGGAAATCATTTGGTCTGGCCCTGTCAGGGCCTCACCAAAGAGAAGCAGTTCCAGCCATCACATTAGGGACCAGTTAATTAAATGTTTGACCGAATAATAGCAGGCTAATTTTTAAGCTGATAATTTTTTAAGGCCCGTGAATGATGTTATAAATAGTCAAAGGCCCTTGGCAGAAAAAAGTTCCCTACCCCAATTTAAATGATCATATCTGGTAGGTGGAGATGTTCTGTTAATAAGAAAAAAATTACTGTAAGAATTGTGGTCACTATAGATAGTAATATGGAATTAGGACTATAGTGTTTTATTTATTAAGTTACTGTACATTAAAATTAACTTTCTTGTACAGTGCTGAGTCCTAACATATATGTAGGTTGATATAACTACCAGCACAGTCAGAACCTGGCGATATTCCATCACCCCTCAAGACTCTTCTTAAATCTTGTCTTTCCTTAATCCCTGGCAATGACTGATCTGTTCTCCAAACTATAGTTTTTCTAGCTGGGCATGTCATATAAATGGAATCATACAGCATATAACCTTTCCAGATTGCCGCCTTCACTCAGCATAGTACCTTTAATTTTTTTTTTTATTAAACAATTTTAATGTTTACATTATTGCAGATGCGTATCCCCCTCCATGGCCCACTTCCCCCCTCCCCCACCTCCCCCTTCTTTGCCCTTCACCACACTATTGTGCACGTCTTCAGTTAATCCCTTCACCTTCTTTATCCAGTCACCACCCCTCAGGCACCGGCCAGTCTGTTCCTCGCATCCATGCTTCTGGTCCATTTTGTTTGCCAGTGTATTTTGTTCATTAGATTCCACGTATTAGATCATACTGTATTTGTCTTTCGCTGACTGGCTTATTTCACTTAGCGCAATACTCTCCAGGTCCATGGTGTCTTTAAGGTTAACCCAAGTTAGTTGTTGTGGCTTCCAATAGTTTTCACTGTTCCTTGTTGCTGAGTAGTACCCCTTTGCGTGTGTAGTTACCCCTTTCCCACTTGAGGGACAGTTGGGTGTTTCCATTTTTTGATGTATATGGAGTTACTGGTACAAACATTTCTGTACAGATTTTTGAGTGAACATGGTTTTTATGTTTTTAATCCTCACCTGGGGACCTATTGAGTTTTAGAGAAAGGAAGGGGGGAGAGAGAGAAATCAATATTTATTGATTTTTAGAGAAAGAAGGGAGAGAGAGAGAGAGAAACATGGACCGGTTGCCTCCCATATGCACCCTGCCTGGGATCGAACCTGCAGCCTCGGTGTGCACCCTGGCCCAGGAATGGAACCTGTAACCTCTCGGTGTACGGGGCAGTGCTCCAGCTAGTGAGCGCCCAGCCAGGCAGTGATGAATACCTTCTTTATGCATAAATAGACCTGAGGTATGGCAGGGACTCGAGATACAGGCGCGAATAAGCCATGCACATTGTACTGCTCTCACGAGATTACATCTGTAAAAATAACTGCAAAAGAATTAAGGATTTGCTCAGCGAACGATTTGAGAAGTGTAGGGGTATCATCCTTTCCTCCAAAACAGGCACCTTTACAGCAGTGTTTGACATTTTCTCATTAGAAGGTAATTCTTCTGCCTTCTCTGTTTTTAAAAAGACTACTGTACGTGGGGTGGGATGGTAAAGGGTTGGCTGGAGCAAGGAAGAGGTAGTAGGGAGCGAGGCAGGACCAGGTGGCTGAGTGAGAGCGGAGGGAGTAGAGAAACGTAAGAGAACGATCGTTCAGTTCTGCTCCCGTGGCTTTGGGCTGGGGAGGGCTTACATACCTGTCGTGAGGGAAGAGCTTCCCCGAGAGGGTGGGTTTAGTCTTGTTCTCATGGGGGGATGAGCAGGAAACAGCGTCGTGCCGTCAGTGAGTAAGAACCATTCTCCTGAATTCTCGCTTGGAAATTTAAGTTATCTTTAAAGCTTTAATTTGTTATTGCAGATTGTGAAGGTACTTGGACGTAATTCATACTGCAGTTGTTTCTTCATAGTTGAGGTTGAAAGTTTTACTAGAATGAAATTGCTGTGCTCAGTTTCTCCTACTGTGCAGTCTCCATTTCTGCTGTGTTAATTTACCAAGAGCTAGAAGGAAAATAATTTGTTAATTTAAAATTTAAACAAAACCTAACTTTACACAGAATTCTCCACTTTGAAATATGAAGCAGGTAACGGGTAGCTTGTCATAATTCAAAGCAGGATCTGAAAAGTCTGCCATCTATCATACTGCTTCAGTTACAGGGAGGGAAAGTGGGAGCAGGACATGAAGGTTGAGGAGCTCTGTTACTTCTGAATTCTCCTTATTGTTTTGATTTAAAATAGCATCAGACACCATTTTTAATTATTCAAAAATGTTTCCAGAATATTTCTGAAAGACTTTTGGTTGGTAATTTTACAGCATTGTTACATCTCAGTAGGGATGATTGATTGCAGGATGACTGTTCTGTAAAAGTATTGATAATCTGCCTTAGGACCTGGATTCCAAATGAGGCCTTTAGCAGAGGACGTGACTCCCAGGGTAATTGTAGGAAATTTTGTATAGATTACTTTATTACTTTGCATAGATTATTTACCCTTATTCTTCTGGGTGGAGGGGCCACTTTGTGGTATTCGGACAAAATGTAAATAGTTCTTAATCCCTCTGAATGCATTTCTATTCACGTTTTAATGTGCATGATAAAACATCAGAAACTCAGAAGTAAAGTCTTCTTATGGCATCTACACAGAACAGGCTTCAATGTTGTAAAGGACCTAAAAAATCATTTAATTGTGTACCTACCTATTTCTCAAGTCCCTTCTCTAGGACCCTCCTGTTTCCTCTTGAACACTCTGCCTCGTGAGGTGATTAAAAATGTTCCTTATTGTCAATTCTTACTTGAATTGATGGAGAAATAGAACTTAATTCTTATCATTAGTAACTTGTTTTCTCAGGTTAGTTTTAATTTTCTAAATTAGCCTCAAGCTTAAAGGTAGTAGGCCATTTGATTAGAATATTTGTATAGCTCCATACTTAACACATCATCATATTTTCTTAAAGTATGAAAATATTTAAATAATCAGTTACTTTTTGAATTCGTTACCATAGAGCTCTTCCACATATATTGTCTTGTCCCTCCATCAGAAACATACTAAAGCAGCATTTTTTATTTCCAGGAAGCTCATGTGTTGCAGGTACTATGTGTTTCTATAACTAGGTAGTTACTTGAATTTATCTTGAAGTACATTATTTAGTGTGGGTCTAGCCAACCTAACTTGACGTATCTGTTGTGGGGATTAATAGTTTAAAATAATTTTTAAATATCTTTAGTTTATAAAATAAAAGCAGTGTTCCAGATTTAAATGTGTGCTAACTAGAAATGTTTTGCATTGATGTGTAATTTAAAAAATATAGTGTGCAATAATAAATTTGTAAAATATTTTTTCTTGTAGGCGAGGGTTAAATCCACCACACAGGGTGAAATCTATCTCCATGACAACATTCACACAACAGGAAATTGAGTTTCTACAAAAACATGGAAATGAAGTAAGTGTTTTTACAATTTCAACTTTTTTGTTGGCAGTCATTTTAATAAGATTTAATAAGTTGTTTAGAATGGTGAATTTCACTGTCTAAAAAAAGTTATTTTGTATTTTATATTTAGGTATTTTAGCATATACTCATTTAATGTATTTAGAATTAATGTCTGCTATCTAAGTACTTTGCTATATACTTGAGGTGAAACATATATTTAAAATTCATCAGTGGTAAGTGTAAAAGGCATTTTAGAAGACCATCTAGTATTGGAGTAACTGTTAGTCTTTGCTTTAAAAGATTTAAAAAAAAACAAAAAAAAAACTTTGTGGTACTAAGTTGTAAACTTGTGTTAGGCTGCTGTATGATCAGCTTTCACTTGAGGTCCCCTCCTTCTTTTTTCCTACATTTTTAACTTGGGGTGTATGTGTGATGTTTAATGTTGAGCTGGTGCTCAGAAGGGAGGAGGCTGGTAATTCTGAGGGCGCAGCCTAGTGTCATGGGAAACCCAATAGTGCAAATATTTGGAGAGGGGTGTTGTCCTTCCACTCTTCTTTATTGGACTTCAAGTAATTCCATTCTGTTTGTTTGTTTTTTTGTTTTTTAGTTCCATGTTTTGCATTAGTAAAAGTTGCTGATGTAATATTTTTTAAAAACTATAAAATTAACAAAGAAAGCAGGCATATTTTGTAATCTGGAGTAAGGATGAGCCAGTCACCCAGTTGATTAATAATAGCCATTATACATTTTATAGGCAACTCTTAATCACTTCCTAGGAGGGAAATAATAGTTTAGTTGTACTGTTCTGGTTGCATATTTTTGATACAAGAGACAGGAAAGAAGTTAAGTGTTAAGATTTTGTTAGTTTCAAGCTTCTCTTTTACCATCAGAAGATGTATGCGAGCATTTTGCACTCTTCCCCTCTTTCTTCCTAACACTTTAATATCTTAAACTTGCCTACTTGTGATGCACATGTGTTTTTGGTTCTAAGATAGTGAAGAAGTGTAAATTCAAGATTACATGAAATAGTTTTAAGTACATGAGTTTATAGAAGTGAGCACTTTGCAGTCTCCAAATTTTACTGCTAAAACATTTTGAGTAATCAAGTTACATACTGATAGTGGTGCATTACAAGGAAAATCTAAAGCTAGGTGAAAAGGCAGGTTTTTTGTGTTGTTTTTTTTAATATAACTTTATTGATTTCAGAGAGAGGAAAGGAGAGGGAGAGAGAGAGATAGAAACATCAGTGATGAGAGAGTCATTGATCAGCTGCCCCCTGCACGCCCCTGACTGGGGATCGAGCCCTCAACCTGGGCATGTGCCCTGACCGGGAATCGAACCCTGATCGCCTGGATACTAGGTCGGTGCTCAACCTCTGAGCCACGCCTGGCTGCGCAGGCAGAAGGTTTTTAATGACAGTTTAGCATAGAATAATATATTTACAGATTAAAATACATTTTGGACTATTTGTATAAAGTTTGGATTTAACCTAGTACTGAAAACTTTAAATTACTCCCTTAGAATGTTGGCCTAGTATGCAAAATTTTGGACATCAGAATGGAATCAGAAATAACAGAATATTATTCTGTTTTTAGTTTAAAAGTCTAATAAGAATAGATAAAGTCAGTAACAGAATCAGAAAGGTATCAGTTCATTGGGGAAGTAAGTAAAAACACCCAAACCTAGCAGTTGATAAGGTTAGGTGGAGACTATTCCCAAAATATTAAGATTTTTAAAAAAAAATTGTGGTAACGACACTTAGCATGAGATCTACTCTCTCAAACATTTTTAAGTATTAAAATTAACATTTTAATAGAATGCAGTATGATTGACTATAGGCACAAGGCTGTGCCAGATCTCTAGCCCTTACTCGTCTTGCATAACTGAACTTTATACCCATTGAATAACACCCCCCCCTCTTTCCTCCCAGCCCCTGGCAACTGCTGTTCTACTTTCTGCTTCTCTGAGTTTGACTATTTTAGATCTCATGTAAGTGGAATCACACAATATTTGTCCTTCTGTGACTGGCTTATTTCACTTTAGCAAAAAGTCCTCAAGGTTCATCCACGTTTCGCATATGGCTGGGTTTCTGAAGGAACATTTTTAAAGACTATAATATCAAAATGAATTTAGAATATATGAAAGGAATTGCTTCATTTTAGGCAACCCATTATGTCAAAAGGTAGAAACAAAATATAAATATGAGAGATGACTGGAATGGGTTCATAACTCTTAAATTCTAAAGAGTCATGTGAATTGATAGGCCACTTAGAACACTCACCGTGACAGTCACTGTGCTCGGTACTGTGGATGCAGTTACCGATGCATTGCGTGCGCCTAGCTGACATAGCACTACAGTTGAGGGATATGTAACGTTACAACATGGTGTTAGATAATTGAGATGAGTAAGAGTTTCAGAAGTAATGTGGAAAGGAAAGAATTGGGAAGCTCTCACAAAGAAGGTAACACTGTGGCTGGTTTTTGAGAGTGACCAGGTCTTAAGTTGGCAGGCAGAGATTGAAGGCAGAGCTAACACAGTGCACAAAGAAAAAGGAAAATTTGCAATAGTTCTTACTGTTAGAAAATATACTGACCTTTTATTAAAAAAAATGTTTTATTGATTTTTAGAAACAGAGGAAGGGAGAGGGTTAGAGAGAGAGAGAGAAACATTGATGAGAGAGAAACATCATCGATCGGCTGCCTCCTGCACGCCCCCTACTGGGGATCAAGCCCGCAGCCCAGGCCTGTGCCCCGACTAGGAATTGAACTGATGACCTCTTGGTTCATGGGTCCACGCTTAACCACTGAGCCACACCGGCAGGACTATATGGACCTTTTAAATACTTGTTAAGGAATACAGGCATATCTTCTTGTGTCCCTAAGGGCATCTTAGAACCAAAATATTCGGGTAGGCGTATTTGATTCTTTACATTATTAGCAGCATCTGTGTTCTTAAAAAGTTAAGAGATGTGTAGAATGTGAGGTTTGATATTACGAAGTGTAGAACGGTTGGTACAACTTCATAAAAAATAAAAACTTTAAGTGCATGTGCTTTATCATCAGTTTATCTTATTTAAACCTTTACATTAAGTATAACATGCATAGAGAAAAGTATAGATTTTAACTTTTTGTTTCAAAATATTTTGACCTTGTGTTTGTAAAGAGGCATACTCAATCACATAAAATTTTGGATTAAAAAGACACTAGCATGCATCTTGTATGTGAATGGGTTCACGCCTGAAGATGAGTGTTTCTGAAGGTAAAAGATCAGAAAGTATACTGACTTTGAGAGCAGTCTCAGATCTTCTACCCCCAAGGGGGAGTTTTAGTGTTCTCAGGGCCATGTTGAATTGTCATGCTTGGAGGTGTTACTGGCTTCAGCAGGTAAATTCCATGGTTGCTGGATGACTCACAATGTTTTGAACAGAATTAGCCAAATTCCACTTGCTTTTCATGTTCCTCCAGACATTTTTATATGGGAAACGCCTGTTTGCAATCATCTGCATGTATAACTTAAATCTGTTTTACATGCTTGCATTACAGTTGTAAACAGCTTTTTGGCAAAGTCACGCTACCAAGTCTAGAATTAAATTAGATGGTCTGCATTGATAGCTGTGGTAAGAAAATAGTATTTTTGCTGTTTACGAATATGTATCAAGGACACTGTAGATGTTTATACCAGTACAGCTTAGGAACTAGTTGACTGTTCCTTGAGTATTCTCAGACTCCAACAGTGTGTTCAGTGGAGCTGATATGTACGTTTTTAAGGTACAGAGTATAGTATGCCAGATGTTAGTAAAATATTTTGCAGCAAAGCACTTTGCAATTAACATTTGTTGAAATGGTTTTGACATTTTTTCCAAAAGTAAAATATTTTCACATATTATCTTGTAATGCTTTCTTTTGTATCAGAAGTTACTTTAAAAATTGTGTGTGTGTGTGTGTGTAGTGGTTTCCTCCATATGTGGTCGTTTGTGATAATGATGGGTAAATCATGGCCCTATAGTTAAAGAAATTTCACAGTTGGGTTAACTTCTGATTATCAAGAGTTAATGGAAGGGGGGGCTGGTGAACAGTGCTGTAGATTGTAGAAGTAATTTTATTTTGAAACATACAGTTTTTCTTTTCTAATAGCAAAATGACCTTCCTGGTTATGCTTTAGGACTGAGAGTAAAGGGATTACTGCTGATGCTCCACAGGCATATAAACTGCATGTAGAAAGGAAATCATTTATTGATTGACAGCATCTGATCTTTGTGCTAGATTATGGAAATAAACCTAAAACATGAACTATTGTTTTTTGTTTTGGTTAATCCTCACCTGAGGATATCTTTTCATTGATTTTTAGAGAGAGTGTTCAGATTTCCTTTAGTTGCATAAATTTCCTTTTTTTCCCCCTTAAGGGTCTGTTTGAATCACAATGCAAGTAAGGTCTCTACATTATTAATGGAAATACGGGTTTTAAAACTGTACTGCTGACAAAAGATTGGAGGCTCGATGGATTACAGTCTGACCTGCAAAGGCCTGGCTGGCACCAGGCAACTTCTTGGGGCTGTATCACTTGCTTTGTGGGATACAGCCAGGTTTGTGTCAGGACGGGGAGGGGCTGTGCTCAGACCCGGTGGCTACTCTGGGTCTGGATGCTCTGTAACCTGGGGACCCTGCCACCTTCAGTCCCTGGGAAATGCCGCCCTCCGCTCCGGTGACTTTCAAGCCTTGAAGCAAACTCATAACACAAGTGCCCCACAGTACACACCTGAATTTTAGTCCTGTACCTGTGTCTTTTTCATTGCTCCAGCATCTGCTGCTACTCAGGCTCCTCAAAATTGATTCTGGGTTCTTACTCTAGAGCAGGAAGCCTATTTGGCTGCTAGGACAGCAGCTGGCATTCATCTTAGCAGCAGAGGGTGCCATCTGGTTGTAGGGTGCTTTATGAGCTGGTAAGAAGAAACTTGAAACAAGCTCGGGGCCCATAGATTTTTGAGGGATTGTTGATGACGTTCTTGGTTCTG